CCACCCACGACATAAGTGTTGCACCAAAGTCAGGCACCAGAACGAGGATTTACTGATGGGGGCTGTTCAGTGGATGTAAATAGAAAATTGAACTTTCATTCCACCTCGGCCACTTGATTGCTAAGGTTGCTAAAAGTGTTGACAAGAATTTGCTTTCGTATGAAGGTGCTTGAAAAAGGGATTCGAAGTTCGATCTCACCAGAGCACGACCGCTGCTTCATGTTATATTACAGCTGGTTGGTTTTGGTACGAAAATGGAAAATGGACTAAGCTCCCGTCCAGCCTTAAAGGGACATCATCAGAGCTAAAATTCACTTTTGTAAAAGTCTAACATTAAGAGTAGGTCAAGAAGACTATCCATCTCTAGCCAACCTCATATATGCTCATAAGAAGAAAAAGAAAATGGATAGACATGGATAGATATTAGATGGCTTGGCTAATTATCTTTCATGTTGGTAGCGCTACCTTTACTCAAGTGTGTGTGTATATATATATGTGTGTGTGTGCGCTTGTGTTAAATTGTATACGAAAAACCGGTCTTAAATCAGAGCAATAAAAACGACTAATGCCAGTTTCTAGCCACCAAGGCTTAATTACCCAAGAACTAAATCTTAATCGTGACTGCCTAAGTTCATAAGCAAGTATGGGTGAGATAATGTTGTGTACGTTTTCAAGCGTTTAAAACAGGTTACCAAATCACGTGTATTAACCTCTCAGTCAAGATTCATTAAGTACTGTGGCATTTTAAAAGAAAGGTTGGTGGGAAGGAATTCGTGATGTGGTACATACGTAAGTTTCGAACATTTTTATCGGGATCGCAGGACGGTGAACCGAGGACCTCTTCGTAAAATTCAACAGTCATCACCACGCGGCAATCCTCCTTCGGGTTTCACTGATTCCTTCCAACCGACTTCCCCTTCGAAATGGAGAGTCATGCCACAATATTTCATTAAGGGAGTCTTTGGAACTCAAATGTTCTTCATAGAGTCATTAAGGTTTAACCATCCAAAGAAAGGCATAGCTGGGGCTGCGCAATCTCGTGTTTCTGGTTTGGTTGATGAGCTTACTCTAACATGTTGGACAAGTGTGAGTAGGGTCAGAACCATCACCGAGCAGACAAATTGAGTCGCCTTCTTTTGGACGTACCATAATCAGCAAACCTACTCATTTGAGACCATTCTATTTCATGGCCAGTTTCTGCCATTTGCTCGGCCACTTCTGACCATTGGACCCAGCTTCCTTTACAAACATTTTTGTGTTCTCCCAATCTCTGTAGAATAGGTCGGCAAGTCTCACCAACATAACATCGATCACATGAGCAAACAATTTTGTAGCAGCTGGATCTCTATAGGGGTCATATTTCTCACTAAAGGGTGGCATAACCGAAGAGAGCGTGAGAGTTTTTTTAAACTTTATCACTAGTTCTCGTATCTTTTTTGAAAGAAGGCATGACGGCAAAATCAAGATGTGAGAAAAGGTATCCTATTGTCTATCTTTGACTTAATAGTCTCCATCTGACAAGTATACTTTTTCCGACATGCTCTCTATCAAAAATGATCGAAGAACTAGAGAGTAAGTGAAGGATAAAAAGTGTGTTTAAAGAAACCCTCACACTTTCTTCGGTCATGCCATCTTTAGGAGAGAAATAGAATCCACCATCGAGATCCGGCTGCTACAAGATGGTTGGTTCCTGTTATTAACCTTATGTTGGCGAGACATGTTGAACTATTCGACAAAGATTGGGGAAACACAAAAATGTTTGTAAAGGAAGCTGGCTCCAACGGTCAGAAGTGGCAAAACACATGGCAGAGACTGGACATGAAATAGACTGTTCTCAAACTAGTAGGTTTGCTGAGTATGGTACGTCTGTGGTTAAAAGAAAGATAAGATAGGCTATTGAAATTAATAGCTTACGAAATACGTTGAATGTTAGGAACGGTGGTAGAAAGTTGAGTAGGAATTACGTCTGCTTGATTGATAGATTGAATGAGAGAGAGGGTGTTGAGTTGCCATCCAAAAAACAACGACTCAACTTGTCTGCTCAGTGATGGTGTTAACTTCACTCAAACTCGTCCAACATGTTAGATTAAGCTCATCAACAAAGCCAGACGTATGAGATCACGCATTCCCATTCATGCCTTTCCTTGGGTGGTTAAACCTCAATGAACCTAGACTGAGGGGTTAGGATTGGCGGTTTCATAACTTGAATTACACACATACAAGCTTACATCTCATTATCTCAATCATACTTACTTACGGACTTTCACAACTCAGTCAGGGCTTTTTCTTCGTTAATTAAACCTTGATGACCAGATCCGGACATTAGAATTTCTGATCACATTTATTTAGGATCGGTATTGCGTATAGACGTTAACACACACACATTCGACCCAAAGTAGCAGGACCAGTATGAAAGATAAGTAGCCTATTCATTTCATTTTCAGTTATGAGTATATACAAGAGGTTGGATAGATTCGGATAGTCCTCTTGACGTACTGATAACGTGATTCTTTGTTAAGAATGAGTTCCAGCTCGGATGGTGTCCGCCAAATGATGGAAGAGAGCTCAGCCGTTTTTTACCTGAAACGAAAGAGGATTTTTCGTGGATTTCGTCAACCTGAAAGTCATAATATAGTCAAGAGGCTGCAGTTCAACGGAAATCAGCTGTCCTCTTCTGGTGTCATCAAACCCTGAATCTCTTCTTCATGCGCTTTTATTCGAAATGAAACTCTTCCCAACAATCTTTCTCAGAAGATTGATCTGTATGGTTGCTAAGATTAAAACTACAAGTATGATGCTACACTACTGTGAATGTACACTTAGCTAAGTATATTTTTGCCCTATTTCACAAAGTATCGACTCTTGCTCTGATGATGTCCGTCACGGCGGTACAGACGAAAGCTTAGCACAGTTAGATCGGGGTCGCAGGATGGTGAGCCAAGGACTTCTTCGCACAATCCCTACGCGGCAATCCTCCTTCGGTTTCCGGTGAGAGCACATCACGAATTGCTTCCAACCAACTTTCCTTTCGAAGAGGAGAGTCATGTCACAATATTTCATTAATAAATAAACTCAAATCGGAAGTATGAAAATCCTGGCGTATATACTCTATTTAAATTGGAATATAACAAAAGTATATTATAAGTCTCCATTTTGATTAAAAAATTGAGTAAAATCTTTTCTTTAAAGATGGAGATAAAGTGGATGTATTCGAGAACATACACAACTCGTGAACTTTCTTAGCTTAGCATTCATCGATACGGTGCAGGCTGTGCATAAGCTGACCTGATGGTCACAAATTGTAAAAAGATTTTTCATGTCTTTGATGCGAAAAAGACGTTTTGCCTCGATTTTACTACATTTACGGATTGAACTTACTGTTTGACATAACAGATTGCACAGTGAACACAAATGATGTGACTCTAGTCATAATAATACTTCATTACTTAACTTCGCTACTAACTCTCTTTGCTTTAACGCCGAACCAGAAAGTCGTAGATTTTGGGATTTATGTTCAGTGGCTCTATCTATTCAATAGCATTATAGTAAAAATGTCTCAACCCACTGTTTCGCATGCATTCATTATACCAAAGGCCTGATAACTTCCGGCTCTAAAAAACTTTGCCATTCATTGTAGGACAGGATTTCATGAACAAATCGTACCTATAGCATGACCCCATACTGTCTCGACAAGCAAAGTTAATTTTGGTGATAAAGCGGGCTAATCTACTTGTAGGCTTAAAACAACCTACTTATAAATGAAGCATAAGCAATGTAGTAGATTGTTATAGCAAATTCAACGTTGCTTCATCGACAATTCCATCAAAGAATGTGATATTGGAAAATATCTGGCCTTCCGTGAATTTAGACCTGCCCTGTGACCCAATGGCACTCGTGGCAATGTGGTGTAGAGGTTGAAGTGTCAAGATTATATGCTGTACTGTCATGGTTCGAGTCCCGCTGGGGATGTTTCTAGGACCTAGGCGAGGTTGAAACTGCAGGCCTTCTGGATAAGAATAGTTTTTGGGAAAGCAAAGCTATGTCAAATTAATTCAACTACCTGTCCTTTTATCACCTTAAACGAAATAGGATGAATACACTTCATATAATATTTGCGAATATCTGTCTGATGTTATGCAATTAGAAAGACATTAAGTACCAGAGACATTTTGTTCCTACACTGACTAGACGCTTGACCATTACGGCTGTAGATCTGACCAATTTTTTCACTAAATCAAGCTTAAGGATTAGCTTTCATGTCTTATAGAATTTTATTTTTTTTACGTGCTTCCACATTGGTCTACCAAAGTTCATTCGATGCTGCTGATGCTCGTTTAATGCACGTGTGAGCATCTCACTTGTGCCAAACTCCTAGCAAACCAGGTTCATCAGAAAAACATATAGCTGGATAAAATAATGTATTTGCTTATTTGACTGGGTAGAATATATATAAGATGAGCGTCTGGAGAATATTTAAAAACTATGAAGAAATGTGTTATCTTCAATTGTATGATTAAATAAGTGAAGAAGCTTTAACAGCATAAAGAGCTGGATTTAAAGGTTGATAAGAAATGGCATTATTGATAATAAACTCTCTCCGTAACTGCTAAGATTGGAAAAGATTTATACAGATTTTCATGTAAAAGATAATGCTAACAAACCATCGTTTTATTTAAAATTAGGGGATGGTGAAAGCAAGTGTTTAGGGGGATTTAGGAAACCTAGAGTGTTGGAAACAAATTACAAATTTATATCCACACCAATTTCGAAAAAGTGGTTCCAATTGTTTTACTTAAGGAAATACTTATAGGTCATATAAGTACTTCAAGTATAGGAAATAATGTGTAAAACATTTAATCTGGTGGCAGATATATCCAAAAGAAAATTAAAGAAACAAGGCAGATAATGTAGAAAAGATAGGACAATAAAAATATTTGTGATTTTTCAGAAAAATTGAGTAATTAAAAATTGAGTAATATGAATCCTGGCTATGGATGTAATTATTTTTCGAAATTAGCAGGGCCCAAATTTTCCTTTCGATTAGCAAGTAGGCTTAGACGATGGATCCTTTTATTAAGCTGAACAGGCGCGTTCTGCTTGGCTACATTAATTATAACAGGGGTGGATTGACTTGTGCCTGATTTTGATCGCGAATCGAATACGTTAGGTAAACTCACAGGATATGAAGTTTGAGTATTGGCTAGTATGTACGTCTGGACTACAGATTGCGCCTCTTTATTTATCGTACCTTTACTCCGTTCCGCAAAGCTGGCATCTTGATGGGCTTCCAAGATGCTTGAATTAGAAAACACGATGCTTTCATGGTGGTTTCGAATAATGCTAAAACTGCTTTTTTTATCTTCGCTCACCTCCTCATAGAATACAGAATTGTCGGCATGTTGACCCATATTATCACAGGATTTCGATTTTACAGGAAAAGTATCTAAACTCCTTCCCTGTTGCTTTAATCTAGGAGAGAGTGGGTCCTTTTTCAAGATAGGAATCAATTTCATATTTGGGTTGGACTTTGTACAAATTTGCTCATTTACGCAACTTCGTCTTCTATGGGAAGCTAAATTATTGGGTAAAGAATGTTCCTCGTCAGGCCCGAAGACTTTGGAAGATTTGGAGACAAGAAAGGAACTGCCACTCTTTCTATGTCCATCTGAGAAAGTTACAGAGGAAGTTGTATGTTGAGGAACTTGCTTTTGAACAGAACCCAACTTTTGCTTTACACTTTTTACTACATCCTCGGTGTCCTCATCGCTATCAATATAAACTATTTGGGAGCTGCGTCTTCTTCTGCTTGGATTGACAGCAGCTTGATACCAGTTTTTAGGCGCCTTCGTGGAGTGAGCAAAGGAATGATTATTGTAAAGACTTTTGCTGCCACTTAGCTCTGAAATCGGCTGTACTTCAACCTTTGCTGGAGGTCTCAAAGGATGTGTGGAAGAAGAATTCAACTTGTGTGGTTGCACACTGTGATATCTTTGATTTTTACTGTAGCCCTCGCGAATGGAGGCCTCTTCAGTGAAATCGTACTGCTGGTTCAATTGTTCTGGATTTTGGCATGGGAAAGGCAAGTCCTCTTGGTCTATGGAAATGAACCATTCTGACTCAGTGTCACTTTGTTTCAGCTTTACAGAATCTTTTCCATCTCCACTCACATTTGCTATAAGAGTGTTGTCTGTCGCAAGGGGTGGAGTTACTACCAGAGAATGCTCTTCCTCTATGGAATCGTCGTGGGCTGATGTGGTTGTTGTAAGGAGTTTAGAGTCAGAGATTATTGATTCACATAAACTCTGGCCATTTTCAGATGCACTAGCATTGCCGACTCTATTGTTAGCATCATCTTC